ATCACATTACTGCAGATAATAAAAAAGGTGTTCAATTTAATAAGCTTTTCTAGCCTTTTCATTTCTATTTAAATGAGTCTTTCTAGTGTCCTTCAAAGTCCCCACTATAAGCCACAGCAGCCTAGAGCTCATGTCCTGATGCTGAACTCCCAGTCTGCATACCAACTTAAGCCAACAGCCTCAGCAAAATTAGCCCTAAAATGCACAAATACATGACCCCAAAATTGCACTCATTAGCAACCTGAAAAACAAACCCAACGACACTAATAAGCAAGCCTGCCAACCCCGCCTCGAGTGATAAATTGCTTCATATACTGTATAAATAATAGGTCAAACACTTGATTTTGGCATGCCAAACATTTTAGATACTCATCTGACCGCCTTTATTTATACTCCATGATAACTAAGCTACTTGTGCTCTACTTTAAGTTTTCAAATAACACTCGCAAAACTTCCTGCAAACACTAAAATTATTTTACTGACCTAGTTGTTATTAATTTAATATACAAAGCAAACTGCAGCTACAAAAACAGGGTCACTATACAAATGGAGCACTGTATATGCATTCATTTTTCTCTATTAACAGTCCTTATTTACTTATTTCACATGATGGTTGTTTTCACTGATCTTTGCACCTAAATCTTTTCTTTGGGAAAAGAGAGAACACGCTGCCAGAGAAGAGAGAACAGTGCTATCTACTGAATGTCTAGAAGGAAAACTTGTGAAATGTGTGCACAAAACGTTATTTCTTTTTTTGTCTTGTATAAAGATGGGTCAGTAGTTTCCATTGTTAAGCAACACCTTAAAAACCTAGAATCCAAACCCAAAGTTTAACAACATAAGACAATTTTCCAACAACCTGTTCAAACAAATATATCACTTTTTTTTTCTTCAGGCATAAGTTTTTCACAAGTCATTTAAAATACTGCAAATTTTATTTTTCAATATTTCTCCTTTAAAGTTTCTGCCAAGTTTAACAATTTAACGACTGGAGATTGTGCCAAAAATAACTAGCATTTTTTAAAAGCTGCCTCTGACCGGCACAAAGAACATTTCAGGGGGAAAAATCATTACATAACTTATTTTGTGAACGGCAGCCAATAACACAAAGCACTTCATGAGGGACATGACAGAAATCAACAGGTTCATATGAATCCTCAATTATGCTCACAGCTGTAACAAATTCCAGAAAACAGATTCAACAGAAACATACACTGTATTTTTAACACCTCATTGTGTTTAATTAACCATATCCAGATGAATTCAGGCAATTACAATCATAACGCTTCTTGAAACAGATCCATAGTAACAAACATGAATACATTCACGTTGTCCTTATTCATTTCTATCACAAATACATGAATAAAGCTTATGATCAAGCAAAACTACAACTCTAACATACTAAATAATTACAATGTACCAGTCATATTTGACATTTTATGAGGTCAAATCACTAAGCTATAATCAAAAACCTGGAAGTAATTTAACATTTGAGACAGTGAGCACAGACTCACACTCTGAACAAAACTAAACATTTATGTATGGAGTTAAAATTATATTAAAAATACATGCATAAAAATGCACGAATCCTCACTCAGCAACATCTCATGATAATTTCTCCGTTTTTGTGCATTAAAGCAAAATTATGTGCATGTATTTGTGGACTGTATCATGAGTTTACAAGAAGTTGGATACATGTGCACTTTGACGCATACATTTGTGCGAGGTTGTGACTCCATATTTTTGACCAACTAAAAAGCATTTGACATTTTCGAAAACAATTCCTGAAAATCTGGGAAAAATATGAGAAGAAAACATCTCTCACACACACACACACACAATCCTTGAAGAGTACAAATCAGTAGCAACCAGTGAAAAATGTAACAACTCTCAATCAGTGATGTGACTTTAGAGCCCCTTTTTTTGTCTCGTGGCAATTTGACAAGTTAACTAAAGCCCTGTACATGAAGACTTGCTAACAAATATATTTCTATGTCAAATCACAGAGTTTTTCTCATTGTCTCTTATACATGTATAACAACAGAACTGTAAAATATTTCAGCTTCATCAGAATGTGCAAAGCAAAACTCAAAATAAAATCGGCACCTAAATGTTTTAGAAATGCTAACACAATATTTCCAATGACAAACCTTTACCTATATGCAAAGCCTGCACAAGAAATACATAACATACACACTCAACTTTAAATTAAACTCCAAAATACATCTTGTGCAAAGGATGAAAGTTATGGAAAACACAACGCAGATGATTAAAAAAAAATTCCACCTCCACATACATAAATAAAACTTTTACATTTAGAAGAAAGGGGGATTGTTGGCATAATTTCAGAATTATTATTATTTTTATTTTTTGGCAAATCGTGATAAGGGAGACACTGATGGGAGGTTTTGGTCTTTAGCTACCGCCATAAAATAAAAGGGTGTAAATGCATCATGATATTTTAACAACAACCAGATTTGCCCTGAGCAAGCTGAATCTTTGAATAGTGCAAATAGTGCTTGAGGCCAGAGTCATACACATACCGAGTTGGGCCCCAAGTGAACCGCAAAAAGACAACCCATCAGCCTTTCCCGAGCAGCAACTAACACTAAAGTTATGACACAGGAAATCACATGCTGACTATACGGTTTCAATTCACTTTGAACTTGGAGAAAAGATAATACATCAATATATCCAGACTTGTTCATTTACATAAGCGAGCATTAAAGGCTAAATGTTCTCAGGCAGATATCTGGCTAGTTTACAGCTCACTGGAGAACTCAGGAAAATTCCCTATATGATGCCCTGAAAAGAAATGTTTTTAAACGACCCTTTACGTCCAGGTAAATCTGCCCTTCTGTCTTGAGTTTGGCCTAACGTTGTACATTTATGGCTCTGGCTGTTGTGACAGTAATATCACTCGCACCTGCATATGCTCGGTGACGTCACCTGAGGGAGTGAGAGGCACGAGAGAGGAGCCGTCTCCTCCTCACACTATAACCAGCTCTGCAGCGTGTTCAAGTTATTCTCCATCCATCGCATGTTCAGCTGAATGGTCTCAATGGCCTCCTGCACGATCCTCATCTGAGAACCTTTCGTCCCCAGAGAAGTGAAGAAGTTCTGGGCCTGGATGAGAAAAACAATAATGTAGTAAAAATACTTCAAGTAACATTTAACTGTTTTTCATTTAAGCAAAGGTATGGGGATGAACAGACCTCCACGAGATGTGTTTTTGTGGAAAACTGACTGGTTGCGGACATGATGATGCTCTGAATGGCAAAGGATCCGACAGGAAATCTTGCAAGAAAAAAACAAACAAACAACAACATTAAATTGCAGACCGAATACTTAAATGCGTAAAAACTTCGTTCAGTATAGAAAAGGGCTTACATGCAAATGATCAAGCCTAAAACATTAGAAAATGCATTAAGATATTTATCAGCACTTTTCTGAGAAGTCCTAACAACCAGCTCTGCAGCGTGTTCAAGTTATTCTCCATCCATCGCATGTTCAGCTGAATGGTCTCAATGGCCTCCTGCACGATCCTCATCTGAGAACCTTTCGTCCCCAGAGAAGTGAAGAAGTTCTGGGCCTGGATGAGAAAAACAATAATGTAGTAAAAATACTTCAAGTAACATTTAACTGTTTTTCATTTAAGCAAAGGTATGGGGGATGAACAGACCTCCACGAGATGTGTTTTTGTGGAAAACTGACTGGTTGCGGACATGATGATGCTCTGAATGGCAAAGGATCCGACAGGAAATCTTGCAAGAAAAAAACAAACAAACAACAACATTAAATTGCAGACCGAATACTTAAATGCGTAAAAAATTCGTTCAGTATAGAAAAGGGCTTACATGCAAATGATCAAGCCTAAAACATTAGAAAATGCATTAAGATATTTATCAGCACTTTTCTGAGAAGTCCTAACAAAATGACTAATTACAGTACATCAATAAAGTTTTTCATGGTTTTTGAAAGAAGGCTCTTTTGATCACCAAATCTGCATTTATTTGATCAAAAACACAACAAAAACAGTAATGTTGTGTAATGTTATTACAATTCAAAATAATGGTTTTCCCTTTTTTTTATACATTTTAAATGTCATTTATTCCTGTGACAGCAAAACTGAATTTTTAGCAGCCATTACTTAAAGGGATAGTTCACCCAAAAATGAAAATTCTGTCATTAATTACTCACCCTCATGTCATTTCAAACCCGTAAGATCTCCGTTCATCTTCGGAACACAAATTAAAGTATTTTTGATGGAATCTGAGAGCTGTCTGACCCTGCATAGACAGCAACGCAACTGAAATGTTCCCAAGTCCAGAAACGTAGCAAGGACATCGGTAAAATAATCCATGTGACATCAGGGGTTCAACTGAAATTTTACGAAGCTACGAGAATATTTTTTGTGTGCAAAAGAAAAAAAAAATTACTTTATTCAACAATTCGTCTTCTCCGCATCACCATGTAGCGCCATTTTGGAGAGTATCAGCTGGACGTAAACAGCATATGCTGTTCTGTGTCAGCTGTGCCACACAGATACGCTGTTTTCGTTCAATCAAATCACAACCACATAGGAAACAGATCCGGCGAATATTCTCATAGCTTCATAAAATTACGGTTGAACCCCTGATGTCACATGGATTCTTTTACAGATCTCCTTGCTACGTTTCTGGACTTGGGAACATTTCAGTTGCGTTGCTGTCTATGGAGGGTCAGAAAGCTCTCAGATTCCATCAAAAATATCTTAATTTGTGTTCCGAAGATGAACGAAGGTCTTACGGGTTTGAAATGACATGAGGGTGAGTAATTAATGACAGAATTTTTGGGTGAACTATCCCTTTAAATCTTCAGAGTCACATGATATTTCAGAAATCATTCTAAAATGATGATCTGTTGATCAAGAAACATTTTTTATTATTAATGTTGAAAACCATTACACATTTTCAAGATGTTTGATGAATAGAAAGTAGCCTTTTGAAATCTTTGGTAACAATGTAAAATACTTTACTGCCACTTTAGAACATTTTAATGCATCCTTGGGGAGGGGAAAAAAAAAGGTATTAATTTCCTTCCCAAATTAATAAAAAAAACATTTATGACCTTTACCCACTAAATAAACACTCTTTAAGGTGTTTTCCTGACCATATACCTTGCTGTCTTGTTATTATGTTATTGTTATTAGCACATTATATGCACGACTAAAAAGTGTAATGACATTTACATTAAATGTGTCGATTCAAAATGTTGGGTTATGTAAGTAACCCTCCTCCTCCAGATTTGTTTTTTCTTTTAATACAAGTTCACCACTCACTTTTGAGTGATTTTATCCCAGTTCTCCTTCACAAAATCCCAAGCGTAGAGGTAGCCAGCAAAGTTCTTGCAAATTGTTTTCATCACCAAAGGAAATTCTTGAGTTTGAATCTCACTCCCATCAAGACTTTTCTGTAGAATCCTAAAAGGGAAAACCAAATTCAATTCAGGTATGCTTGTGCTGACAGCTCTGACAGAACATGTTGTTCAGCCTTACCATATGATTTTCCGTACATCCTGAGTGCTGGCCAAAGCTTCCAATGTCTTGCGCTTCTCTGGGTCATTGATGGAGTGTTTATACACGTCTAGAAGCTTACCCCATCCTTCATCTGTCTGAGCAGCAACTTTGAAGACTGTTCTCATGAGATCACTGGGAATCCTAAATCAATAAGGCATGTATCACAAGATGTTCCTCTGTTCTCAAGAATTACTGCGGTGAGGAGTACAAAAGTCAAGAGCTCTTTCCTTCTCCTTTTTGCAAATCACAAGATTAAAAGAGAAGTTATTCAGCCAAGAGTCAATCACCACACAAACTTACTGAGAAGTCTTGTTGGAAGTGAACCACTGATCAAACAGATGCTTAGCCTGTGTTGTGCAGTTATGTATGTTAAGAGAACATGCCATCTCCAGCAGGGCAGACCGAAGCGTCATCTTTGACACAGAAGTTTCCAGATCCCATGACTCCCTCTCCATTAAACTTCCAAAATGGTCCTCAATGTAACTCTGCAAAGATTGAATTCCAAGAAAAAATTCAAACAAGTTTTATTTTTTTTCCATTTCATTTCATTTGACTACAACAGCCACACAAGATGTTGCACTTACCGTCATTCTAGAGGCCAAGTTCAATTCTGATCTTTTGTCCAGCAACCTGTAGATCTGACCAAGCTGGAAGAGAGCTTCGGTCAGAGGCGCCGTCTCTGTCTCATTTCTCATGTAATCCATTAGATTTAAGACCTGTCTGAAAGACACCTTGCCCGATCTGGAGGAAAGTTGAAGAACAGATTTTTTATTTTCACTCATTTACTAAAAAATGTACACTACTGTTCAAAACGCTGGGGTCAGTAAGACTTTTTTTTTTGTAAAGAAATTAACCCTTTTATTCAGCCAAGGATGCATAATTTTTTTTCATCATGGTTTTCCACAAAAATATTAAGCAGCACAACAGCTTTCAACATTGATAATAGTAAAAAGTGTTACTCGAACGCCAAATCATCATATTAAAATTATTTCTGAAGGACCATGTGATGTTAAAGACAGGTGAAAATTCAGCCTGATGTCGCAGGAACAAATTAGTTTTTAAAATATATTAAAATAGAAAATTATGTTATTCTGACGCAGTCATTTCTGGTGATTTTCAGTTGTTTATGATGGATTGATTAAATCTATATTTAAATTATGATAAAAATATAATGGATCTGTGTAAAACAAAGAGGAAAAGATAATTTTATGTAAAAAAATATTTTAAATCTGAATCGCAATCATAATTGATCAAATGTTATTTTCAGGTTTTCCATGATTGTGAGAATTCTGCACCATCATATCTTTCAAGTCATGTCTAATAACTTGAAACCTTCTTTTAAATGCAGATCCACCTGGAGAGAGCAAAGATGTTGTTGATGAGAGCTGCTCTGTCTTTACAGGTGAGGACATTCACATCCTCCTTCAAAGCATCAATCAAGTCCTTCCATCCCTCCTCATCATAATGCACTATGTAGAAGCCATCACTCCTGAAGTTGAACTTCAACCACTTCACTTGATCTGGAAGGTTTAACGTGGCTGGAAAAAATGTAAAGCAACAAGCAATACATTACTGAATATTCCCAGTAGTTAGAAACATCGGTCTATGCCAGTACACTCAGTCCTGAGGACAATACTCACCTGTTTTATCCTTGAGATGGAACAATTGCTTGCAGGAGCTGAGAACACTACATTTGTCGGTCACATACGTCAGGGGAATATGCCACAAGCTGCTATGGGTAACACAAAAGTGAATCAATTAACAATCGACAACGAGAGAGGCTGAGTTAATTTGAAGCTTGCTTTTTTAATAGATCAATATTGGACTTTGACCCTGATCGATATAAAAGTCCCTTTTTAAAACATTCGCACCTTAAAACAAACAAGACTATTCTTTCCCATGACACACCAGAGTGGGGTCAGTAAGTTTTTTTTATTTTTCTGTTTTTGAAAGCAGTCTCTTATGCTCACCAAGGCTGCATTTATTTGATAAAAAATTCTTGAGTGTCACATGATCCTTCAGAAATCATTCTAAAATGCTGATCTGCTGCTCAAGTAACATTTACTATTATAAGTGTTGAAGTAGTTGCTTAAAGGGATACTTCATCCAAAAATGAAAATTTGCTGTTAATTTACTCACCCTCAGGCCATCCAAGATGTATGTGACTCTTTTTCGTCCGTAGAACACTAAAGATGATTTTCAGCCAAAACCATAGTCCTTGGTTATTCTTAAAATCAAAGTCAATGGCTACCAGCACTTGAGTCAAAAAAAGCATATACAGGCAACACAAAATGAATACCCGTGGCTCTGATGCTATATAGAGGTCTTATGAAGCGAAATGATTGGTCTGTGCAAGAAACTGAACAACATTATTACCTCAACATATCATCAGGAGCCACAGGTATTAATTTTTTCTTGTCTGGACATGCTTTTTTGACTCGCAAAGTGCCAGTATCCACTGACTTGCATTTTATGAAACACCAAGGACCATGGGTTTCACCTAAAAATCTTTGGTAACACTTTACTTAAAGCCTTTATGTATAATGCATTATAAAGTGTTATTAAAGGGTATAATGCATTATAATTATTCGTAATGTGTACAGTAATTATAACCGAATCTATAATACATGTAACAATGAATTGATAAGTGTTATAATGTATTAACTGTGGTTACTTAATTATTCATGAGATTGTACAGTGCATTACAAGGCATAGTTAATGCATTAAAACTACTTTTATAATGCACTAAACATAAAGGCTTTAAGTAAAGTGTTACCAAATCTTCTTTACTGCTCTACCGAAGAAAAAAAAAGTAATCTACATTTTGATGGCCTGAATCTCTTTTATATTTTTGGGGAAACTGGGATACAGTTTTTTAGGATTATTTGATGAATAGTAAGAAACACTTTTGATTAACGGATAAAAATATTAGTAATACTAAAACAAATCTGACTGAACCCAAACTTTTGAACACTAGTTTTAAAACAACTTTGACAGCCCCATAATTCATTATGATACATTTTTAGATCAATGTTCACAGCTGCAGTAAAAGTCCGGTACCTGTCGTCCGTGCTGTTTTCAGCATTCAGAAGGAAATGTTCTTGCGTCAGTGTCACTTGAGTGCCACTTCTCTTCACTGTGACTAGAGGAAAGCCCTTATGAACAGTCCAGGTGTTCATCATCTCAGATACACTTAAGTTTTGTTTGCTCACCTATGGAGATCATGGATGTCAGCGCACACTAATAAAACACGGCTCAGATGTCAGCTCAGTTGCTTCATCATTATATAAGAGTGCACATTGTTTAATTTTGTAATTGCATTTATCACACTCAGAACATGTATTTGTTTTGCTCTCGTAAATAATGAAATGCAATCAAAATGCAGGCACCATAAGTTCATCTCACTTAGAAAAGGTCTGACCTGGGAAAGACTGTTCCATAAGTCTTCACTTTCTGTGTTTGATAGGTTATACTTTTGTAAGTACTCAATCACTCCTTTTGGAAACTCCCCATCTGTGAGTGTTGCATTGAGCATCAGCAGTATCGAAGCCCCCTTGCATGAAAAGGCAAATCAAGAAACATGTTCAAGTTCTGAGAATAGCTATACAATCAATAACACTAAATGAAAAATGATTACATTACACCACAGGAAGAGGGTTTATTAAAGCCACTTTACAAGCAAAAGGTAATTTATGACGTACCTTCTCATAAGACACAGAGTCAAACATCTCTTCCACCTGCTCAGGGGTGCTCACGACAGTAGACAGTGGGTGGGATGAGTTCAATGCATCTTTGGCCAGCGCTTTAAAGCGAACATTTAAGAATTCAGTGTCCTGGAAATGAAAGACAAGATCAAATCTAAACATTTTGAATGACACACATTCAAATAGGGCGTTTGATTCTCAAGGTCGACTCCCACCGTAATGAAAATGACTCTTTAACTCCATTTACTTCACATCAAAACAGGGTCAGGTAAAAAATACAAGATTGCAGTCATTATCACACACTAAACGTATTTTTTTCCCCCCGACATGAAACCTTAAATTCAATGCATTAAAACAACACATTTTTAGCATGGCTGTCCAAATTAGCCCAATTTAGAGATGTAGTTAACTTGAACTGTTGAGTAGCCCATCAACGTTATTACCTAGTTGTTGCCAATACCTAATTTTACAGTAAAAGTCACGAGAAACAGTCTTGTTCGAACATCATTTCAGAAGAGAGAAAGTACTGTAACATTCTATAATGAATTAATAACAGTTGGATGATGGCGCTAAATGCCCATAATCATCTCTTCATCATCAGCTCCTTGGGCTGGAGAGTTCTATATAATAAAAATTATTAAAACAATACACGCAAAAATACTCTGATTACTCAGAGTTGAGAACTCTTTTGGAATTGATTCCCCATCACTACATTTAAACATCAACAACATCAAAATAAAGTTCTAATGAATAAGCCTCTAAGTGCCCTTTGAAATTTTCTTCTAAAATTAGCGTGTGTCATGACTTGAAAACCTATGTGTAGGTTCAGTAATTTCACTTTAATTAGGTGTAGGTTCTTTTCATTGTCATTAAAGTGAAATAACTGAACGTAAATATAGCAGCCTAAAAAAAAATGCTCATTTTAGAAGAAAAGGTTATTTTAGAGGCTTTTGCATCTGAACTCTTCATTTCTTAATTTAGAATAAAACTTACTATGTCAAGGCTTGGGAACACAGTTTCAATTGACATGTACTGCATGTAGGTTGCAAATCCTTCATTCAGCCAAAGATCATTCCACCATCGCATAGTGACCAGATTTCCAAACCACTGAACAGAAAAAGAACAATACATGACAATGAACACAACATGTCTGACTAGCCTTTTCAACTGAACTGAAGACATTACATTTATTTTAGACTTACAATTTATGCTATAATATGTTTTATGTCAATATCACTATTGTCATTCACTTCACTCAAGAATTTGGAGTATAAGTTTAAAGGGAGAGTTCACTCAAAAATGAAAATTCTGTCATCATTTATTCATCTGTCATTTATTCACCCTCACGTTGTTCCAAACCTGTATGACACAAAAGAGGATATTCTGAATTTAGAGTTTTCTTTTTTTTGGTGAACTATGCCCTTAAGAAAACAATTTGAAGTAGGTCAACATTGTAATCAAAACTGGATGTAAATGATACTTAAATTCACACACCCTGGTAAAGCAGCCACCAACTCAGACTTTTCTATCACGTGTTGTTAATCACTGAAATGTGACTATTATTTCCCTGTCATGGGAATGTTGCTTTATTTATAAAGTGAATTACCTGGTGGGCAAGTTCATGAGCAATGACAGAGGTCACCAGTTGCTTGTCTATAGAGGAGGAATTACTCCCTACTAGCAAAGTCGTCTCTCGGAATGTGATTAGTCCCCAGTTCTCCATGGCTCCGGCGAGGAAGTCAGGAATAGCCACTAGATCTATTGATTTGAAAGACATTGGGTCACGTCATGTCACAGAAATGAACAATTTTAGGTTTGTTATTTATAAAACAACATTAGCGTGTATGTCCAGCTATTCTAGGAATTTAATAATCTCTGTTTGAAGAGTTTCTTTAAGGGAAGGCATCTCACCCAGCTTGCTTAACGGGTAGTGTTTCACAAAGAACGTATTGTAGAACTTCAACAGTTTGCAAGCTGTGTCAAGAGCATACTGCACTTCTTCCTTTTTGTCTGGAACAGCATACACAGACACCTGCATAACATTTTGGGGGGGGGGACATAATGCAACATGTTTCCACAATATTTGTAACACAAGACATTGATTTTGAAGAAGAATACATACCGTAGTTTTAGAGACATTATTACTGACACTGATGAAATCAGCCACAATAAATGCAACTAGGTAAGTGCTCATTTTAACACTTTTCTCAAACTCATCTTCTTGAAGCCCATTTTTTAAATCTGTGGTTTTGACCTAGAAAAAAAAGGACAATAACATTACAAAACGTATATATTATAATCTGAAGAAAAACTTGCATGACAATATTTATAATAAAAACATAAAAGTAAAAAAAGTAAATAAATAGAATAAAACAAATAGAAGCTGTTAAGTATACGTATATATA